TCCTCTAGCCCCCAAAACCCCAAACCAACACCAGCCACCATCAAAGTCTTTTACGTATTCAGTGCTTGAAGCTTTAGGGATGTTTTGACTAAACGGTTAACAGGACAGGAACCTTCAAAGCGCCCGAACCGTGGGGTTTGCAGGTTTGTTTTCGGCAAGGTGAGCCGCCGCGATGCTCTAGCTCCGCTCCTGTCGGCACCCCCTGCCCTTGCTGCCAGCGCGGAGGCGCAGCCCACCGCGGCTGCCCGCCTCTGCCCTGCCTCAGGGAAAGGGAAACGGCCCCGAAGGCGCTCAGCCGCCGCACAGGCGACTCCCATTGCTCCCGTAACTTTGGGGTTAGCTAACTTGGCTGAGGCGGCGCCTGCAGAATAGCAAGCTGTAAATGGGGCAGAAATAGTTTTGGCTCGGTCGGTGTAGCTGGCGAAACGCTCTGCTTTGGCTGCATCATGTAATGGTGCACCTTGGATAGCTACGGAAGGGAAAAGCTGTCTACCTGTAAAGTAACGAGGTGTTTCGTGCCGCTGCCTGTATTACAAAAGAAAATGAATAAAAAAGCTCCCGATTTTCTAATCGGTAAGTACCTGTAGTCCTGGTAAAACCGATCAAAAGCGTATCCAAGCTTTTGCAAGGGAAGAGGCTGGGGCAGGTCCTCTGACAGCCCTCACAGCACTGTTAGTGCCCAGGAGGCTGCGTCTTGTACTTCTTGGTCCTTATTGTGACATTATAGAGCGTGAAGCAATTAACGTGTTTAAAAAAAAGTGAATAACTAAAGATTCAAATCTGAGCGTATTTCTCGAGCTGAAGAACAGTAGTGCAAAGTCTTCGCGGTGAGCACTTTGTAGGTGGCACATCCCACCACGTATGGGAGAACTTGTAAATCTGTCTGAAGTCCCTCTTGCTTTGCTAATGAAACCTTTTAGAAACCTCTTTGAAAACCTTGAATCAGTTTGAGAGAGAGGACTGCTGATGGAATTTGTTTTCCTGACACGGTATTATGGCTTAATAGCAGGAAAATGTGAATATATGGTAGGCTCACTGCTAATACTGCATAAACAATTTCTCTTTCTGATAGTAGTTCCTAATACAGGGTTTTCTGTCCTATTAAAAGCATTCCAAAGCATGTTTTGTTGTCTCTTAAACATTCATTTAGCATTACCTAGGATATAATCTATGTTAAAAAAAAAAAAGAACTGCTCTGAGGCAGGTGGCAAGCTGTCTTGCATAGTAAAAAACCCCCCACCTTATTACCTAAATCGGTAATGAAGCAAGAAGTTAATTTTTGGATCTGTTAACCTTCATTCGCTACTTTGACATAGTCATGTTAGTTTACAAAAGAGAACCTGTGTGATGTTATTGGTGGTTGCCTGAAATTCTCATCTGCCATCACACATCTTTTGTATTTACTCATTAAGTCAGGGTTTAAATTCTAAGCACCTTTAGACAAGTGTTGTGCTGATAGGAGATGCAAGGCTTAAGGGTAAGCAGTAGCTCCATGCAGGACATGCAAGTCACAGTTGGCTATATGCCTTTCAGAATTTCTATCCTAAACAATCAATTTTACTTTATAGAAAACAGTACTTTTGTGGGCAGAGAAATTATGAATTTGTTGGGGTTTGCTGAAGTATTTTACTTTTCAAGCACCTCTTTATTGTTGGAGGGGTTGTTTGTTTAGTTTTTCATGTAATGCTGGCATTGGTAGGAAACCACAAGGTAGGAATTTCAGGTGAGAGTTACCTGTCCTCCCTTCCAGATTGGGTATCACATTACAAAACAACTATTTGAGCAATTAAACACATGAATTTTCTTTTTTTTTGTGTCTAACAGTGTGGGTTAGCTCTCAGTCAAGCTAATACTAAGTAATTAAGTAAAAGGAATCGGTTTGGATTTTTTTTCATTTTGTAGTTAACCGTATTTTTTTTGCATGAGTTGTAGAACTGCAGTATTTGATTTTAACCTACTCTTGTCCTGTCCAGTTAAGCCTGGTAAGAAATTTGGAAGTTAGTAATCAGAACTTTTTCACATAAACCTAATTTCTTTGGGAATCAGGGTGAAAAATTAAGCCTACATTGACACTGTAAAAAGTTACCAATTATATAACCAACATCTTGGGAATTCAGAATTTACTGCCACTGTCATGGAACATGAGTGTCTGTCTGTTTTTCTTTGGAGTGATGTGTTGCCATTTTGTTACAATATTTGAGCATGTGATTTACTAAAAAACCCTGTTGTTTTGTTAGTACAGTTCTCACAGATTGTGTAGTTTTTTGCTTTCAACATTGACCCACAGAAGGGTGGCTCATTCATTTTATGTTCTGTAAAAGTTTTGGAAAAGACAATCAAGAGGATACTGGGAAAGAACAGCTGATGATCCATCAGGAAGTCCCATGAACATATCTTGATGGCACTTAGTTGAGTAGTGGAAACAGATTAAGTCTGTTTTTTTTTCCCCGAATTTTGAAAGCTTTTGTAAAAGGAAGAGTAGGTAGAAATGAGAAGGGGACAGTGAAGTTGGAAGGTGAGATGATGGAGAAAAAGAATGTTGAAACGATCATCTGAAGACATAAGCCCTGAACAGAGCTTAACCTCTAATATGTGGTTTTTGTTATAATATATTATAAAAAATGTTTATATATTATAGAATATACATTTTAAATACATATCAAATGTAAGAGGTTGCAAATAACCAGTATGGCAAAAAATTTGATGGCTCAGGGAGAAAGGAAATAGTCTTTATCTGAGGAGAGACAAAGAAATACAGGGGAAGGGAAAGAGTGTGTGGAAACAAGGAATTAAAACTAAATCACCTTTACTGTAGATGTAATTGAGAGAAACAACTGAAATATCAGAAATAGAGAAGCTTCAATTTTGAGAAAGCAATTAAGAGTCTTTAGTGAAGATTTCTGATGCAAAACTGGATTTAGTTTCTAAATTCAGTTATTCTCTAAAGTGTTTCCTTAAAATATAAATTATACCTTAATACATTTATTTAATTATCTTGTCTCTAAATTGTCATAAGTAAACAAATGCTAGAACAAGTGTATTTGCATTCATAGAAACTTTAAAAATCTGTATCTTAGACACTCAAAATTATAAACCAACCTCCATACAGAAGTTAATTAAATATTTTCTTGCTTATTACTTACTTGGTTTAAAGCAGAGTCATATGGCTCTAAGAGTCATAACTTACTTGTCTAAGACTTAATGATCATCTAGCCCTTAGGTTCAAAGAGATTTTATTCTTTGGGGGAGTTCATAATCCTGTGAATAACTTATGTGATAAGTTAGGTGGTTAGTTGTTTGCTTCTGTGTTTTAATACAAGAAATATGGCCTTCTTTAAGATGACAATTGACTGTGCAAATTGGATCCTGAGTTTAAAAAACCATGTTGCATGTCACTAGGCTGCAAAACTGATTCTGAAAACAGCAACAAAAAGAATCCTCTGAATTATCATGTGTTTTATTTTTTCTGATGAGCCATATTAAGGTGGTTCCTACTATTGTTTAAATACTCATTGCAAGTTACAGCTCTCAAAAAATCACTTCCAGAGAATTGACACTGTAATTTACCCTATCCATAATAGTTGTCATCTGACAGTCACCTACATAACCCTGCTCTTGAGATTTAGCTTTGGTTTCAGGTGCAGTAGCACATCTTTGTTCTGAGTTACATGGTGTGGGAAAGGATTCTAGAACTGTTCTGGTGCATTAGGAATAATTATAATCGCTCACATGCCCCAGTTTCTGCTCTCAAATTCTTGTGTCCTGGAAGAAGCGGTTGGGTTTTGACATGTTTCGCCCCCCCCCCCCCTTTTCTCCTCTGTAGTGTAAGGCTATATACCAATTTACCAATGTGCAACTTTAAAAGATACATAATTGCATTCATTTGAAGTTTGTTTCAAAGCCAATTAATAGCTGTTTCAAGTAAGTAACTGCAGCCACTCACTATGCACAGTAATACCTACTTAAACAACATACTTGATACCTTGCTTTAAAAAAAAACCAACCAAACCCCATTTATTCTGTGTTCTTTAGACTGTAATTTAAAACAATACGTAAAACATAAACCAGATCATTTAAATGACTTGACTGAATAACCACTCTATTTTCTTGTTTGCAACAATATAAACAAGATATTAAGGTGTTTTTTAACTTTTTCAACAGAAAATAAAATTACCCAAGAAAACAGCCAGACGATATCCTGCATATGAGCTCTATCTCTATGGGGAAGGGAACTATGCCGAAGAAAACAAAAATCTCCTATTGACAGGAATTCCAGTTCTCTTTCTGCCTGGGAATGCTGGCAGTTACAAACAAGGTAAGCATTTAGCTAAGTTATAGGTATGTTACAAAGAGCTCTCACGTTGATGCATTAGATAGTGGCACGAAGCTTTCTGGTTGAAATAATATCAATGAGAGTCATAATGGTTAATCATATTATGATGTAGATGTCTTTGTTAGCCCACTTCTTAATTTCAAGGTCAAAATACGTTATTTTTGTTTGAAATTAGTTGAACAGTTGAGCTATAATATTTTTCTGAAGTGAAACTAACTTTTGAAAGCCAGAAACAGTACAGTTTATGCCGTACTATGGCAGCACTGCACCTTTGATATATTTTTGATTGCAAACATCTAGTTAGATTTCATTTGAACAATGTTTAGTGCAGCTAAATAAAACAAGACCTGAATTTGATTAGAAGAAACTGCACAAGCTACTGTCTGTGATAGAATTAATAATGTGCTATAGAAACAAGATCATCTTATGGCTTGCCCTGTAGTTTCATTATTTCCTGCTGCTTTATGTAGTGGTGTTTTTTTCTTAGCATCATCTTCCCGCTTTACACATAGCCTGCTCTTGTTTTCCAGGTTATTTATTCTTACACTTCTAGGCTCCAAATGAAAAGAAGTAATAGTTTTAAAGCATTTTTATTTTTCATTGTAAATACTGAAGTTAGTGGTTTGATGAATGTGAAGTATAATGTTTAAGTGTTTATTCAAGTATCCAGTATTCCTTCCAGGCTGGGTTTGTCAGACTGTTATTTTTGTTCTCTGAAATGTGCTTTGAAACAGTTAGTAATATTCTTATGATGTCAGCAAAATTGATGTGTATGTATGGGGAAAACCATCACATCTAAACCCGGATGACTTACTGTGAGAATTTTTCTTATATTTACACTAAACTTGATGATAAAATTACCAGATTTTAGAGGAGCTTTACAAAGTTATTTTCTTTGAGCTAAGTGAGTATGTTCTCATAATGACGTAGAATATTTTACCAACTCATACTTTCAGAAAATCCATACAGGCTTGCAAGCACGATAGCATCCAAAGAAGATTATGAACATAATGATTATGAGAGATGCCATATGGACTTTTGTAATTGTGCATAAAGTATTGCAAATCTGTGAATTAATGCTGTCTCTAAAAGCATGGCAGTATATCACTATGCAGGAAATAGAATGGTATTTTCAGGGCATGTTAGGAATCAAAAGGAAGTATCAGAAGAAAAACTAGGGAGGAGAAGTACTACATGCTGTGGATATAATGTGCTACTTAAGATCAGTAAATATTTAAATATATATTCTTTGAGAAACTGATTTAGAGAGACTAGCAATAAGCCATATGTGCTTTTTTTCAAAATCTTGAAAAATTAAGTTGTTCTGTCTTCATCAGTGGCTCAGAGTAGTTTTTTGCTTTATTATGGGATTTATGAAAATTCATATTTTGTTCAGAATTTGTGGGATAACATACTTTAATTCTGTTAATTAGATGAGCAGAGAAGGTGTTGCTATTGTTATTTTCATAACGATGTTTAAAATCTCATATTTGCTGAGCAATGAAGACAGAAGTGCTGCTGCCTTTGTGGGGCTTGTTATTTTCATAGAATCATAGAATCATTTAGGTTGGAAAAGACCTCTGAGGTAATTGAGTCCAACCGTAAATCTCACACTGCCAAGACTTCCACTAAACCATGTCGTAAGCACCATGTCTACACATCTTAAATACCTCCAGGGATGGTGACTCTACCACTTCTCTGGGCAGCCTGTCCCAGTGCTTGACAACTCTTTCGGTATCCAACCTAACCCTCCCCTGGGGCAGCTTGAGGCCATTTTCTCTCATCCTATCACTTGCTACTTGGGAGAAGAGACTATCACTCACCTCATTACAACCTCCTTTCTGGAGGTTTTGGTGTGTTAAAGCACTTTTGAAACATGTTAATTCATCATCTTTCATGGGCACTGAAATTAACCTTTTAAAATTCACACTTTGAGTAAAAGATGGTGGTCTGAGAGATCCTGAGATCCTGAGTTCTGTTCAGGAATGTCACACACTTGTTATGATCTTTGAAAATATTCTTGTTTCTTTTACTGTGTCCTCCAAGATAAAAAGTTGTGATAAGATTCTTGACCTTTTAAATACTTTTAATGTCTTTTCAAACTATTTTGAAGGTGTTGTTATTGCTTATTAGCTTTAGATATAATTGGTAAAATGATTGACTACAAATTAGATTTATCATTTTCATCATGCTGATAATATCTCTTTGTGTGTTTGTACATAGAAAGTATTTAATAAATATTATTTTCCCATTTCATGAGCTTCATTGAAATTTGTTTGATTTCTATAGCAAATTTTTTCCAAGAAGGAGATTTCTGCAGGCTGCAGATCTCTGAATTTGTTGCTCTCTAGAAGAATCTTGAAAATGTGCACTGGATTTGGGCAGACCTTTCTGGCGATCAGTAGTTATGTTATGTACTCACTTCTGGGACTTTCTTTTATTTTCATCTTCCCCTACCATGCTTTTTTATTTGCAGCCGTTACTGTTCTCATCCTGACATGTCTCCATGGAAACTCAGGGACAATTCTGCACTCAGAAGGCTGTATTAAATAGCAACTAGGGTTAGATGGAGAAGACAGGTCAGAAGCAAGACCTTGTAAACAGAAAATTTTCTCCTTCAAGGTTTTAGGTGGAAAAGTGTCCTTTAGGGTTTGGTTTTCCAATCCCCTATATGTATCTTGGTGGTATTTGGTAATGTTGTCCTACAGTTGATGGTCTTCGAAGGAATTTTAGGAAAGCCTAGCAGTAGCAATGCCTCTAGAGTTGAAGTCAAGAATACTTGTTTTCCCTTCTGGTCCTGGTGGTAGTAAGAAGGTGCAAATGAGATGAGAAAAGCAGCCCTCAGGTGGAGGAACATAATTCTTGATCTTGTATAAATTTGGTTTTGACATGAAATATCTCTGTAGTCAGTGGTAAGCTAGGTTGCATGGATAACTGCCATAAGCACAGTGTGCAGGTCTTGTAACTCATTCCAAACTTTCTTTTCAGCTAATCAAGTTTGTTCTTTTCCACACTTTTCTGTAAGCTCGTTAATGTTTACTAATACTTTTTATCAGAGAAATTCCTATAAATATTTCTTTTCTCATTTTACAATTTGGTTCTGACAGCAACTGTCTGATACTTTTGCTCTGTTTATATCTTCAAATATATTTCTGTAAAACAAGTGTGATTGCATATTAGAAAAGAGATTATTTGCTTTTGGATGTGTTTTTCATCCTTTTTTTACTTTTATAGATGATTGAGGTGAACAATAGGTTTCAGATAACATTTGTTTCTTAATAATTATATATTTATGTGTTTGTCTACTAATGACAGTGCTAAGCAGTGACTATTAAACTGTTCTAATTGATGTGGTTTCTTTTCCTAGTACGTTCTCTTGGTTCCATTGCACTTAGAAAAGCAGAAGATGTTGACTTCAAGTATCATTTTAATTTCTTCAGTGTCAACTTTAATGAGGAGTTGGTTGCATTGTATGGCGGTAGCCTGCAACGACAGACCAAATTTGTGCATGAATGCATAAAAGTAATTCTTAAGTTATACAGGGTAAGTAGTGACATATGCTGAATAATGTACTTGCTTTTGGGAATGGAATTCTGGGCTGCCTTTTCTGCTGGAAGACTGAGGAATGATGAATGAGAGAGGGCGACTTTGTAGTGTGTGTAGGTAATGGAATGTTAGAATAGTGCAACAGAGAATTGCTACTCTTTAATAGATTTTTAAAAAATGCTTGTGACAGTCCCAGCGCTTTGGTTAGTTTCTATATTAGTTTCTGAATAAATACTTTCATGCACAATGTATGCTTTTTTGTAGTAGAGATGTAAACTTTCCCTAGCTTATTAAAATATTAATATAGCATCACCTTACATCCATTTTTCTCTAGGAAAGTTCTTTGATGTCCTATGTCCTTAAGAGTCTCAGAAATTAAAATAAGCTTAAGTCTCTTATGTTTATACAGGCTATATATTTTGAGCCAGAAACTTCATGTTAAGCATGTTTTTTGAGATACAAAATGAATATAAATTTAGTTGCTAAATTTTTCAACTTGATACTAGATAATATTATGCTTTAGAGGACATAAGTTTGGGGGGAAAATAATGTATAACTAATAATCATAGTTCAATGTCAAATCTATTTTTGATGTATCTACTCTCTGCTCTTTGCTTAAGAATCGAGAGTTTGCACCAACCAGTGTTGCAATAGTAGGTCATTCCATGGGTGGTCTTGTTGCAAGAGCATTGCTTACTCTGAAGAATTTTAAGCCTGAACTTATAAACCTCCTTGTTACACAAGCCACACCTCATGTTGCACCTGTAATGCCTTTAGACAGATATCTTACTGGTAAGTATTGTCAGATATCTAATTACATAGTACATTTATTGATCCTCTCAAGCAGTAATAGGTGAGGTTCTTGCAAACCAACAGCAAAATGTGCTGTTTTATTTACAGTCATTAATCTATTCCTTGGTTACTTAAGTGATTGAGAGTGCCAGGATACTGAGAAAGTAAAGTGTCATAAAATGGATTATGTGAACTTGAGGTTCTGTGCAGGGCCCGTGGCTCTGAATAATTTGTAATTTTAGTAAGTTGCAAAGCATGTTACTAAATTTGAAACCTCTCCAGCAAATGACATTTTTTCTTTCTTTTATTTAAAACTTGACTTCTGTAATGGTTTTCTTTATCAAATGAATTGCCTAAATAACATCATTTCTGTATAAGTTGCTGAATTTAATGTTTGTCATGCCCAAAGGTTGTGGGGGTGAGAATGTTAAATATAGATATAATTATATATTTCATATATTTACACAAAAGATAGATCAAATTTTCTGCTTACCTAAATAACTGGCATAAAAAATAAAGTATAATCATTATGGATGTATGATATGCTTTTCAAAAAGCTAGATTTGACTAAACTATACTGATGAAATATGCACTTGGTGATAATTGTACTGCTGTATGTAGATATTGAGGGAACTGGTGAAGGAAAGGGAATAGACATTTATTTTCATTATTCTCTGTGGCACCCAAGAAGAATGGATTATCTCTAGCTGCTGAATTTGATTTTTTATGCTTGTATTAATTCTCCCTCCTACAATTGATTGCAATGCAATGCTTCTCCCTTGCTGTTTCTGGATTGTGGTTCTCCTTCAAATAAATCTATGGTTCGCTATTTTAACAGTATATGTGCTCAGCTGATACAGAAACTGTCAGTGTATGTATCTTTCCCAACTGCTGCCTCCTTGGGGTTAAAACAATAGTTTTCCTTCCTTATATTTATAAAAAGTGATAATCAGAGTTTAACTGCCTCTTGGGGGGCTTACAGAAGCTTCTAGTTAAATGTTTCTTTATCTATTTGTATATCATATAGACTTATGGGGAAACTGTGATTGCTTTTAATATATTTTACAGATTTTTATACAGCTGTAAACAATCATTGGATTCTAAAGGCCCAAGATTTAAGAAATTTAACTACCCTTTCTGTGGCGGGAGGATTCAGAGATTACCAAGTTCGTTCAGGACTGGCTTTTCTACCAAGATTGAGTCAACATGACAGTGCCTTATCTGTTGTGGTAAAACATACAAACTATTTTTTTCTGGTTTTGCATGGAGTTATGTTAGATAGCTATTTATGTAATGCATGTATCCGTGACTAGTTATAGTCTATATGTGCAGCATAGTATAACTAAACCCAAAAACACTACATGTGAAAATATAAAGTAGATAGTGTATGGTTATAAAATCATAAATAGCTCATATAGTATAAATGAGTGTCCACTGGAAGGGTATGTGCTGGGGTTGAATTGAATCATCTACTTGGTACTGTATCTTCTCACCACCTTCTTGCACATTTTCAGTTCCAGAACTCAGGTTTTATTTTCCTGTGTTTTTGCAGAAGATATGTATATGGAGACTGACAGATGTGCAGTATAAAAGTAGACTGCTTGTTTGATTACAAAAAGAGAGCTCTGGCTTGGAGAATTCTTTTTGTATTTATTGTTTTTTAAAGAACTTAGGAATAAAGGATGTACTGAATCAAGTCCAGTATTCTGCTTTTGAAGGCATCTATCTTCTTCCAAAATTACCTAAGAGGGACCATAAAGTAGTTACATTTGTCATTCCATCCCCCCATTAACAGCCTGTTCCGAAATGGAAGAAACTGGAAGACACTCCCCAGAAGGGAGAAAATTTGTAATTTTGAACTTCCATTTACTGTGCAAGCCAGTTTTTAAATGTGTTTGTTCTGACATCAACTTGAAATTTTATCTGAAATTGTTGTCATTCCCTTGGTGTTTACCTCCTGTCTGTTGTACAGAAAGCTGTCTATAAATAGTCCCAGCTCTGATTCTGCTAGGCTAAGAAGATTAACTCTGCATTCCCTTCGTCCTAGTAACCATTCTTTGCATCTGCTCTACTTTAATTTCTCTTGAGTGTTGGTGACCAGAATTTTGCGTGAGATCTCATGTGCACTGGTACCAGTTCTTTCTCATAGTTGGGGTTTTTTTGTGGGTTTTGGGAGAGCTTGTTTTGTTTTGGGGGTTATTTTGGGTTTTTCTTCCCAACTGTAATGCATTAATAGTTCATAGCTTACTTAAGTTGTACAACTAGGTGATGAGCTCCATTTACGGAAGGCATTTTTGATAGTATTAGCCCTTAATATGCAATACATGCAATACGCTTATACAAATGAATAGTTTCAAACTGTCCAGTTCTTTCTGCATGGTGTTCTGATGCTTCTTTCTGTTGAGGATGCCCTTGATTTTTCGGCAGCAGCTTTCATTGGTGTATTTCTATTCTTGTGTGCCAGGATCACTTATTAAAATAGTAAGATTAGTCATAGAAGCAGTCTTTGAAGAAATTTTTGGTAAGTTCCCTCCACACTATTATTTGCCCATTCACCATTAGTCTCTGCTATCTAACATAGATAACTTGGTCGTTTTGTTTTAAATTCCTGTTTTACAAGTGCTTCAGCACTTGTGATGGTGGAACTTGCAAACACTGGGATACAGATTTAGCAAAAGCCACCTGGTTAGTCATAGGGGATCTGCCAGTCAAGGTGGAGATAAAGTCCCTGTTGTACACATTAAAAATATGCTAGGGAAGACAGTCTGGATTATTTCTGTCTCGGGTAAAGATAAACCCATTTGTGAGATTACTTTTGTCCGAGGACCTGGGTGCACTTGGTGGGTGATGCAGAAGGATGGGGAAGTCCAATGTGTGCCTCAAGGGGATTTGATTTTTGGGTGAAAACAGATGATGAATTGAATTGATAATGATTGAAATGATAATTGCTAAATAACCTTGTCATTGCATATCGTCATTGCATATCATCATTGCTATGGTTGATACATATTATACTAATGGTATTCATTAATTGCTTCAGCACTTGTAAGATTTTTGACTGAAGAAGTCATTCTATTGTACCCTAGTTGCTGAAACTCTTAATAGAAACACTATTCTTTTTAATAATTGCACAGATTTGTTTAAGTAAGGAGGGAAAAGGCTTGATTAGAATTTTAAAATGTTGAATACTAACAAAACCTTAACTTTTTTCCTTCTCCAGAGCTCAGCTGTGCCTAGAGTTTGGGCTTCAACAGACCATCTCTCCATAGTGTGGTAAGCTGATGGAACAAAGGTTAATTGACTGACCATACATTCCTATGTTCTTTACTGTTATCACATTATAAAATAATTTAACTTTAGCATAATATTCTTATGATGTCCCTTCTGACTACTTTTATTCCCCTGGATATCTACTTTCAGGATTTAATTTTACTTACTCTGTTTTATAGGTGCAAAGAATTGATCCTGGCTACCATAAGAGCTTTTTTTGATCTCATAGATGAAAACACAAGACAGGTTTGTATATGTGATCTCCTGTGTATTTCCCACCACGCTTTCTTCTTCCATTCCAGAATGCTTAATCAGGACAAATATCACTTAATTATACAGAAAACTCCTTTTTGATTATTCAAAGTCACACTGAGAAAATCGTTACTGTTTTGTACCAGTCACTGAAAAATCCTATGGCTTTGTGCTGTTTGACCAACATCTCAGAAATAATTGTTAACTCAGTTTTTATTATTGACTGCTTGATGCTTTATAGCTGGAGTGTGGATTGAACTTTTCTTCCATAATGCAGACTTTGAAAGGGTGTTGTCATCATAGTGGCCAGCACTTATTTGTGGTGTCCTTTTGCAAGCAGCACTAACAAAACCAGAATGCAAGTAAAATACTAGCAGCTACCATTATTTATTGCTTTTCTAAATAAATATTCTGTATCTTACTGTTTGGGAGATTTCTGCAACAGTTTTCATTGCACTCTGTTCTTGTTCTGAAATGTTATGCAGCTGTACACATGAGTTAGAATTAAGGTCCAAGACGTTAAAAATGTGTAAGCAGAGCCCCAGACATAGAAGAGGAAGGCTTCCAGGTGTTCTTTTTGAGGCTGTGTGGGGCAGACTTCTCTAGTTTCTTATGTGTACTCTAGCATGTGATAGAGACAAAAAGGGGGTACTGTGGTTCTGGAGTTGATTGGCAGTGTGCGGGAGGGTACAACTTTTCAGAAATCAATTTTGAAAAGCTGAACAGACAGAGTTTAGTCCTGGAAATTTGATTTGGTAAGAAAAACCAAACCACCCAAACCAAAAGCAAATCCCAATGCAGCTCAATAGCTATTTGTATTCTTGAAATATTAAGACAAGATGTAGTAAGATGGATTTGTGAACTCGGACTAGTAAATATAAATGTGATAATTTTTCCTGAACTCTGGCATGTGTGTGGTTTCAGAAAGAACGCACATGTGTCTATAAAGAAAGTTTAATGATTTAATGGTTTTCTTGTGTTAAGAGTAAGCAAGGATATAAACCTAGAAGATTTAGATATGCTCTATAACATGTGTAGACTTTCTGTATTGCAGTGATTGACTATTGATGGCACTTTATTTGTTCAGATTATTGAATTTAGAATAGAATTGGTGTACCGTATCTTCTAACAATCTCTTCTGCTTCTCATTCCCAAAACTCTATTGCTAGCTATGATCATGTGATGATGGTAAATCACACAAATTGGTAAAACAAAATTTGACAATGTGCTCTTTTTTTAGATAACTGCGGATCCAAAGAAGAGAATGTCTGTATTGAACCACCACTTTGTGAGACACCCTGCAAAGATATTTGAGGAAAATCCTGAAGCTTTTGCAGGACTCACAGGTGTGCAGCAGTTTTCTTTTGAACAGGATTCAATGATACTCCTTGGTTAATAGTTAATCTTCTCCCTAACAAACTTCTAGAATACATTTTTGTCATTCTTCAGACATTTGTAAAATTATGTAAGAGTTAGACCTGAACTATCAGCTTTCATGTGGCTTCAGTACTAAATATATTAGGAGCAAAAATCTGTCATTTTTATATGGCTTACATTCTGGAGGATGAGCAGGATTCCATATTTACATCAAGGTGTCTGGAATAGCTGGATGTCAAAAGTACAGTCTAATCTATGCTTACATCCCATGCTTGCAGGAGGGATAGTATGGGTGTTGTAGAGCCATTGTGTTAGGTTTATGCTACTCATGGAAATCCTGAATATTCAGATCTGCTTCATCAGTAACTTCCTTTTTTTTAATGATATGGCAGGGTAAAATGGACTGCACACCACTGGTTTCTTTGTAGCTGCTAAGAATGCATAATTTACAGCCATTTATAAATAAGAGATAAAATCTTGGTGATAATTAAAATAGAAGATTTTGGAGATAAGGATAATAGTTCCTGCAGTGTGGCATATCAAAACATATTTCTTTTTAGGAGCTTTCATATGGATTACAGTCAAAGCCTCAAAATGGACTTACTCAGTTTACAATGTAAGTAACATTTTTTTCCTCGTTGTGTTTTTATGTTTATTATTTTATTCTAATGAGCATTTTTTTTTCTTTTAAGGATTCTGATGGAAAATATGTCACATTTCCTCTTGCAAGCCACAGAAAATCATACAGTCATGTTTACTGTGAAAATAGTATGTTGGTGAGAAAATACTTCTTTAATGTTTGGAGTTTATTTATAAAACTGTGTTTTTTAAATTTAGATTTGCTGCAGTTTTAAGACAATTTAATGAACAGTTGTTGAAATTACTGGAATCTGTTTACATTCACAGCCTAATATACTATGTTAGATGTACTTCCTGTTTTAGCATGTTGCGCTTAGTGTTCAAGATCTGAAACCTTCAATGCCACCTGAACCTCAAATGTTTTATTTTTGGCTCTCTTATGGTTAGGCACAAATTACTTTCTCCTTTAATTTAGTGCAGTTCTTTACTGATGGTTTTGAATGAAGAAGTTATTTTTAGTGTTGTCAGGATTCAGCCATAATTCTAATTTGGGAAAGCTTTTTATAGGTTTGCTTTCTCCTAATAAAATTTAAGTGAGCCTGAAAGGCTACAGAGATCTTCCACTGAGCAGTGAAAGAGAATGGAAGCCAGATGAGAAAATGGCACCTTCTTAATTGTCTCATCTATTGAGAGGAGAAGCAATAATGTACATTTCTTACATTTTTAGCTCGAGACAAAAACTCAGCCAAAATGTTTTTGAAATTTTTTTAAAAATATTTTTTGAAAGTAATTAATATAATCTCTTGGCAAACTGAAGAGGGATAAATATGCTTCTCAGAATTATGTGAGTAATTTAGAAGAGTGGCAAGACAATTGAGACACTTTCCAGTTCCATCCTGCCTGTCCCTGTTGCCATTTCTCCCCTTAACAAAGATGAGACTCATACCAATATTGTGAAAAAAGATTGTATATTCTCCATGCTTTTCTAATTGTTCTTCTCAGTAGCACCTTCAATATCTTTACATATTTGTTGTGATCTTAGTTGTGCTTTAATAGGGTAACTATTACCTTTGTTATAAAATCTTAAAGACAGGACTAGTACTGCTTGAGGAGGATGAGGTAGAGAAAAATGTCTGAGATATTTGCATCATGGTGCTACTGATTCAGAACATTTAAATTCTCGAGGCAGGGAGCAGTAGAATATTAAAAATCTAAAGTATTTCTCGACTACTTAGGATGTACCTTGAGGTGTTTCTTTTAGTTAGAAAAGATTAAACTCTAATTGAATTTTACATCATATATAAGGTGGATTTTTTTTTTAAAGAGAAATTATGAAAGTTTGTTTGCTTAACCTTCTATCTGTTTTTAGAAAATGTGTTGATTCGTAACTAGAAAAGGTGGCAAATGGAAGTTATTTAAAATGGTTCCTAGAAACCCCCACCTTTCACTCTTATGCTTCATCCTTCCATCTTTGTAATTGTGATTCTAGGATTATGATACCAGACTTTTAGTGGAGTATATCACTTGTTGTTAACACAAGTCTGACTTTATTGTGAAATGAAGTAAAAAGTGGATATCTTTCAGTATAAATAATTGAGGAAATCTGAGAGAGAGTTTTTTTATCATCTTTGCTTTTACACCTCATTTGACATCTGTATGAGAGTTTGGGCACTATAGTGATAGCTGCTGCAGACATGTTTAATAGAAAAGAAGTGAGATGAAGATGGAAGTTTGTTACTCTTTTTCGTAAGTTAATTGCACCAAGGTTCTCCCATCAGAGGATTTTTAGAACAGTTACTGACATCTGGTGCACTGGGACAGTTAGCATATAGAAATTTTGGAGAAGATTATCAGCATTAACTGATGCATTGTTTGGAGTAAAGAACTGCTATTTTTAATATATTTATACATACAGTCATACATAGGTAATGTACTATTTTATGGTGTTGACTTTACAGGACACAAATAGCTGGATTTATGGCTGTATGAACAGTAATTCATCAATGTGGTGAGTATAAACAGTTCCTGTTCCTTATTTAAATGGATCTAGTGAGGCTACATTTGGATTTAAAGTGTATAAAGTATCCTCTTCCTGAGGAAGAAAGAGATTGGGAAGAAATGTTCTTACTGTGAATAATTCATGCTTTCTGTAACACTAAGAAAACAGAAAAGGTTTTCTCAAAATTACAACATGAATACAGGATAAAATAGGTGAACTCTTTCTCCTTTAAGCTATATTTTTGTTCTTCATAGCAGTAAGAAGTTGCTCCTGTTGCTCTCTTGTGGACACTACATGCTGTGCTGGATTCCTAAATTGTGTGTTTTGTAGCATCTCTTTAGAATACTATTCCAGAAGACATCAAATGTCACTCATAGCCTTTAGAAGAGTGGATTGACATCTCTATTTTTTTTTTTTACATATTCCAAAATTACTATTGTCCCATGAAAAATACTTAGAAATGTGGGTGATTTAATGACTATTTGAATCAGGTCATTGTAAACCGGATTTAAAACTCTGTCTTAGCTTACATTTGCTAAGTAAGTTCAAAATAAATTCAGTCTACCCTTCAGAGTAGGGAAAGCTTCCAGGTGGAAGAGCTAGCATAATATTTATCTGTTCTGGGATATGTGCTGAGGTGTACAGCCACAGAGTCTTGCCTCCAGCTGATAGCCAGATGTCATAATTACATTTTCCTGATCCAAGGTGAAGTTGGGTGTTACTTCTTTGTATAACCCTTGATGAGCATCAAGTGAGGGTTAGCCTACTACCTAAAACCTCATCTAATAATAGTGGTTTTGCTGTGGGTTGTGTCTTGAAGTCATGTAACAGTATTTGGAGAAACAGAAATTACCCTGGTGTTCTAAAATCGTAACTTAAAATGTCTGAATGAATGTGTTGCAGTTAAGTATGTTAACTTAATATAAGTACACATCATTTTAGAACTGCTGCAAACTCTGCAGCAGCTAACAACTTTTGGTTTATATGACATATTTTAGATTTTCCCGTGGGAAAACTTGGTAGTTTTGATGTTTAAAAGTTGTCAATAAAACTGTGTGTTAATTCAATGTCAGTGCTGGTTTAGCTCATTAAGAGTTTTCATTATGTGTCTGAAGTTGTGTGGCTAATAACTACTGAATGTTTTGTGTAGGACAAAGAGCATTTCTTAACTTGTTTTTGCGAAAACAAGACTTGCAGCATTTGAAATTATTACAGTTTGATAAATTACTATGGTAGCTAACTGCAGTAGACCTAGACTTGTTCTCAATTTAAAATCATGTGTATGCATAGAGAGAGATAAACTGGTATGTTAATCCACTGTCATAAGGTAGTGCCTGCATAATGAATGTGCTCATCCTTTAATGTGCATGAATTTTTACAGCCTGGAAGCAACTGATTTATCTTGGAGAGCTGAGTTACTTCCAACCACCAAGGTAAGTACTGTATGTAATTTTGTGGCAGGAGGTGCTTTGTGGGGTAGTTGCATGTCATGGGAGAAGGATTTGTTCTGTTTACAGCATTGGAACATGCAGTTGTGTTCCAGAGGAAGGGGTACAAGAGGTGGACATCTGGGAATTGGCAAGGGGCAGGCTAAGGGGTATGTTCAGTCATGGCTTTTCTTTTTTTTTTTTTTTTTCCTTTTTCTTTCTTTTTCTTTTTTCCCCTTTATTTTAAGGTTGTAATACTGAAACTTCAGGACTATCCTTCTTTGTCGCACATTGTCATTCAGGTACCACCTACAGTTGGCAATAAGGTAAAAAAAAATATAAATGCAGAAATTGTTTGCTTAGTGTGTTCATAGCTTTCAGATGCTATGACAGAAGGAAAAGGAAGTATATTAAATATGTACGAAGTTACTGTGAGAAACTCTAGACCTATGCTTCAGTGTGGCTTGAAGGTAACTGTTATATTCTGTAGTCTCAGAAACATTTTCATCTGATAAAATACTAAAAGCAAGGCATGAATAGTACTTGAAACATGCAAAGCAACAATTCTCAAACCAGTTCTTAGACTACTTGTTGGAGACTCTAGTGTTCTTCCTCGTTTTTCTTCATATTCTGATTGCATTCCTGAATATTTACCTTTTTGAATAGTCAATTCTCTTATCCAAGGTAGCAGAGAATGCTTTAGATAATTGAAGACACCACATATGGATTCTGGGGAGCATGGTACAGATAACTCTGCAACTCTGAGACCACAAATAATGTGATAGACTGAGTTATAGAATTGTAGAATCATAGAATGATTTGGGTTGGAAGGGACCTTAAAGACCATGTAGTTCCCACCCCCCTGCCATAGGCAGGGACACCTTCCACTAGCCCAGGTTGCTCACAGCCCCGTCCAACCTGGCCTTGAACACTGCCAGGGAGGGGGCAGCCACAGCTGCTCTGGGCAGCCTGTGCCAGTGTCTCGCCACCCTCACAGGGAAGAAATTCTTCCTTACATCTAATCTAAATCTGCCCTCTTTCAGTTTAATACTGTTACCCCTCATCCTATCCCTACACCCCCTGAGTTCCTCCCCACCTTTCCTGTAGCCCCTTTCAGCACTGGAAGGCTGCTATAAGGTCTCCCTGGAGCCTTCTCCAGGCTGAACACCCCAACACTCTGCCTGTCCTCACAGGGGAGGTGCTCCAGCCCCCTGATCATCTTTGTGGCCTCCTCTGGACCCACTCGAGCAGGTCCATGTCCTTCTTGTGTTGGGGGCCCCAGAGCTGGACACAGCACTGCACGGGGGGTCTCATGAGAGCAGAGTAGAGGGGGAGAATCCTCTCCCTCGCCCTGCTGGCCACACTTCTCTTGATGCAGCCCAGCACACGGTTGTCTTTCAGGGCTGCAAGCGCACGTTGCTGGCCCACAGTCAGTTTTCCATCCACTAATACCCCCAAGTCCTTCTCCTCAGGGCTGCTCTCAACCCTCTCATGGCCCAGCCTGTATTTGTGCTTGGGATTGCCCCGACCCATGTGCAGGACCTTGCCCTTGGCCTTGTTGAACTTCATGAGGTTTGCCTGGTCCCATCTCTCCAGCCTGTCCAGGTCCCTCTGGATGGCACATCCCTTCCCTCCAGCATATCGACCACATCCCGCAGCTTGGGGTCGTTGGTGAACTTGCTGAGGGTGCACTTGATCCCACTGTCCCTGTGGCCAACAAAGATGTTGAACAGCACCAGTCCCGACACCGACCCCTGAGGAACACCACTCAGTTGTGCAGAGTTTAGTAGTTCTGAATCTCACAGATGAGTTGGATGTCTTTGCACCAATTCCTCTTGGGAACCCAGTAAGAGGAACACTTGCAGTGAGTCTAAGCAGACTTTGGATGTTACCCAGCGAGGTCTTGCAGCCTTTCTAGTTAGTCCTGAAAATGGCAGAATGCTGAGCTTGAATTTAAAGTCTAAGTAGATCTCTGTTCTGTAACACACATAGTCTGTATGTCTGTGGTATGATAATCCATGATCTGAGAAATTATTCACAGCTGAAGTGATTGTAGTGCTCATCTCTTTATCTTCAGATATCTGTGACAGAGACATCTTGCAGTTAAATTAGCAAGATATGACATTCTGGATAAGCAAAGATAGAAGAGAGATCACTTGTGAAATGTAACCTACTAAGTTGCAGTCCAGTGTTAAATTTTGGAAACTGCTTTTTAAAAGTAAACAAATTCTGGATTTACAATGGGATGGAAAATAATTTTCAAGTGAACTAAATACTTATTAGAGATGGTACAACTCATACCTGCTGGATGCTTGGCTTTGCTTTCCCATGATTAAGCTTCAGGAGACAAAGTTCTTTTTGCTTAGGAAAGTCCAAAGTTTGCTTAGGACTTGTCCAGAGTTTGGACAAGTCAGTCTCCTTTGCAACACAGCCCAAAAAAAAGATGTACCTGAGAAGGAGGGATGTGAACTGGTTTCTAGGCATTCTCAGCTGTTTGCTTAACCTTTTGAAGGCTGTTGCAAATGCGTGAGAGCTAGAGTAACCTGAAAATCATGCTTATGCTACCCAAACTTGTACTGCTGTGTACAGGAACAAACTACCTGCCAGTCCTTATCAGCAGAGTGTGGAGAGGTGGCTTTTCAGTATTTGTGTTATGGACTCTGCCTGAGCCTGTGAATAGAATTTGGCAGGTGTAAAGGCTTTATAGTCTTGTGTTTGGTTTAGATCTGTATTTAATATCCTGAATTGCAGTATACTTTGGACTGTGAATTCTTCAAAGAGGATTCCAGAAGAGTACAACTTCCTGTAACACATCTTTTTTCATTTGGTAAGTATAGCAGATTACTTTTGGAAAAAAATGGAAAACTAGTACTACTAATATTTGATTAATATATTTGTCTAAAAGTTCCAGTGATCGGGGATTTCTTTTTATTAAAATTATTGCTTTTGTTACTAACAGAAAAAGAAATAAGACGTGAGGGTTTTTGACATAACAGGTGTAGAACCACATAAATCTACTGGAAAAAAAAATCTGAAGATGTAGTGAGTTTTCAAGTAATTTTATCTAATATGTGAAAAAATTACATCCTTTACAGGGCTTTCTTCAAGCAAAATTACATTAAATTCAACTGGCTTGCTTTATAATATACAACTCCAGCACTTTAACCAAGTAAGAATGCTACTAATGTTTTTGAGCTAATGTAACCACTGTTTGGAGAATGTAAGTGATTTTTTTTTCCTTTTTTTTAATATTTTAGATATATCAAGCTTTCAAAATTTATATAGAGAGTCACTGCCAGTCACTCAAAGGTAAATATAAGTCTTCTAAAATATAAATTTATAAAACAAAGCTTGTTGAAAATTCTTAAGCGCTGGTAGAAACAAGTCCTCTTAGGCAGTAGGGTTTAGGCAGTACTGTTATAATCTGCTTAAATGTCTCTGTTAATATCTCTCACTTCCCACTTCTGTAAGAAGCATAGCTCAAAGAAAATGTGGAATTAGTCCTAGTATGTTTGTTTTTCTTATTTCTCAACAACGGGAAGTTGAACTTTCAGCAGGATTCTGCATTATGTTGAAAGTGTTTCTCAAGAATAGCAGATTTGGCTGGAATTTTTATTTGCTAATTATTTGACTCAAATCGGAATGTTGAGCTACATAAGCTTGAACAGAATGGGATGTTTTGTTTCAAAACCAAAAAGATGGATCTATTATCTTGTGGTTACAGCTTTGTATTGAAAACCAGGAGTTTTCTCATACCTGTCCTGCCTTTAAACATTGATGTCTCACTGTCTTGTTCTGTACAGCATGAGTTAAAACATGTCATTTTTGTTCAGTGCTAACTGCAGTGATCTGCACTGTAATGTCAATTGCAAAGCAACTGCAAACCCAGTGATTCTGTGTAGTGATCTATATGCCACCTTTGTTTTACTTGCATTTTAGTTTTTGGAGACAGTTGCCACATCTTGTTCCTAATTAATTTTATATATTTTTTAAATTCTCTTCCATTTCAGAAAGAAAACCTAGTGTTTACAGGCTTCACATACCCTGGTCACATGAAGACTCAGTAATTGTAGCAAAGTAAGGACTTTAACAAATTTCTTGATACATTTTTGAATAATGTTTGCATCCTGTTGTGGTAATATTTCTGATATGAGAACTTCTCCAGTCTCAAGTGTTTGGCTTGTGCATCTTTTCCTCATTTACCTTTCTGCACTTGTAGACAAAGTTGCTTTGACTTTTTCTCAGAGTAAGAATATCTACTAATTGTTTGTTTAATGGTTCTCACTAATTTTCTTGAAAAGGAAGTCAGATTTACTGGTCTGGAATTCTCAACATAATCTTGGACCCCTCATGAGTGGAGAATAGAAGTTGCTCTGGATGCTGGTTTCTTTCCATTACCCAGGGTGTGGATCATGTAGCAGCTCTAAGTTGCTTCAGCAGCATAGTCCTGATGAAATGATACAGCTTGAAATGTGTGTCACTCATGAATTACGGTGGAACAACCTGTCTTTAATTTAGATGGTTGTAAAACTGTCTTCCTTGTTTATTTTAGAGGTCTTGAGGATAGCTCCCTATTTCCCTCCCCCTCCCTATATTTTCTAATAACGTAATATTTGTGAGAAACTGAATTGTATTCTTGAGAATCTGTTCTTCCTGTTCTCGTCACTCAGCATATTTGTGTTCTGTGAGGCAGTGTGTATGCTAATGCTAAACTTGTCTGTTTTCATTAGTACTATGCCCCTTGATAGTTCAGAGGACAGTGGATTGAGATTGTTATGTAGTTCTTTATCCTGTCACATATAACACAGACAAACAAGTTCATTATACCATTTCACTCATAGCTTATGGTGACACTTGCTGTACTAGATCTGCTTTTATGTGCACTTGTTGAAGACTAAGACATGTTAGGCTTTTTTTTGATTATAAGGACAAATTACCAATTAAGTTGCTCTTTCAGAGTTCCGTCTTTGACTGAGATTTCTGCAAAACTGCATATTGCTCAGCCTCAAAATGACAGTAGAGTTCCAGAGTTAAATATTTACTCTTCCTCAGACTGTCAGTATGAAGTGAGTAATACAAGTTTATTTTATAGCTAGTATGCACTGATGTATAATTTTTGCATAATTCACTCTTTTAAAACGTAGCTAATTAATTGAAATAAATATTAAGCAAATCTAAAGGTGGGTTGTTTGGCCTTTTTGTAAGCGTAGTGCATGTCACAAGTATTTCACAACAGCTGGAGTGATACTGAAAGTTGGGCTCTCATTTCCAAGAAGAGCTTTAAAGCATTTGTTTTTAAGAAATCAGTAATAAGCTGTTGTACATTTTAGTTATGAGATTGCTGTATTCTAATATTTAAGTTGGCTTCTTAAAAGTAAAAGAGGTTTGTACTTATGCTTACCATTGTATAAAATAATAAAATACTTGTTTTTTTTTTATCAAGGTAATTCTGAAGACATCCCTTTTACAGATTCTTGGGCAAGTAAGAAAACCTTCTAGTATGAGACTGTTTTATGTCAGTAGCATCTACAGAAGTTTCCCCTTCCTCCCTTCCCTACTATGGCACTTCAAATTCCTTCTCAATGCCAAGAGGAACACTATTCAATGATTATTTAAAACCTTGTCACTTGGCAAGGCATCCCATCTGCATAAATGTCAGGACTCAGTTTTCAGAGGAGTGAAAAAGCACTCTAGCTCTAAAGAGCTAATGTAGATGTTGAGCAATTGACTTTGTGCTTAGGTGGATATTTGTAAAGAGATGACACTAGGTCATTTTCACTTTCTTGCCTGATGAGTCAGTAGTTTTGAAAGTTTAAAATACACTGGGCATCAAATAAAGTTAGGGGAAAAAAGTCAAAGGAGATCCATATGCTCCTTTTCATCAAATTTTCTTTGGTTATCAGTGAAGAATACATTTCAACATTGGTACCAGTAAAAATAGACTAGCCATCTGCAGTTTTCCGATTCTAAAAAGTAATTAATTCGCAAGCACCTAAGTGTAGTGCTGGAATGTTACTGGCAAGTTTCTCTATTTGAATGTATGCATTTTTATCAAGGAATTTTCATTCTGTTACCATTTTAGAAGAATTTGTGTGCTATTTATATATTAATCATGACTTGGGACAGTGAAAGCCAATTAAAACGTACATGAAATTGCTTCCAAAAATTCTCTGCCCAAAAGCATATGTAACTATATGCAGGTTTTGCTTGGAAAGTGGCCTTTTAATTTGTTTTACTGAAACACTATTAACATGCTACTGCATTCTTTTAATATTTGTTTTGACTGGAAAAAAGAATTAATTTATAATTTGGTCATTTATCAAAACATATTTGATTAGCCGTTCATGAGAGATTTGAGTATTTTCTATATATAGCATTAATTGCTGATGGTGGTTATCAAATATTAATCAAAATGAGAAACTTTGTATCTTACGCAAGATATTTATAATCACATTATCATTCTGGCATCATGATAATATTTGTATGTGTGTTTTTCATATATCTTTAAATATATAAATTAAAAGTTATGCTTGTATCCTTGTCTTTCAGGTAATAAGGTTCCATGCTGGTGCTCTTCCTGTCTACGTTGTTTCTAATATTCTTCTTACTTATGGAGGACAACTGAGCACATTGATATCAGCAGGTGGCTTTCTAGAAATATAATTTTTTTTTCCTGTCACAAGTGTTTTTAGAAAAAATACCTATCCAATTTACTGTTGAAACACTAGATAGTTGTGAAATTTTTTTTTAATCTAAGTATCATTGAACTTGTGCAAGTACTTGGATCTGTGCTTTTCACTTTTGTTTTCTGTTTGTTGGTAGTTCTCCAAGGTTGTTTTGTAGCTTACTGTTTTATTCTTCAGTCCCTTCTTTATGAATGATTGGTGTTGCACAAAATTTTAGAATTATTAGAAGTCTACTTAAGAATACATGTAAAAGTTTAAAATATATTAATATGCACAAAAACAAGTGTTTCTTGCATGCAGATGAGATTTACAGACATAACTTTTAGACGTGTCTTCAGACAAAATGCATTTTTTTTTTTGAATTCAGATGGTGTTTGTAACAAACTTCATAATGTCTCTAGAAGATCTTGTGACATATTACCTGAATGTGAGCGATCCAGTGAATAAGGGCCTTTATGATGAAGCATACTGACTTACAGGGCTGTTATAAGACATGATGATCTTTGAAGTAAACTTTCAAATCTTTGTCTGAATTTACTTTTTGTTGTGGATCTTCTTTGTTAAAGTTCATGACAAAATAATAACTATGGATGCTTTCTGTTCTTGGTTCTAGGCCAGTGTTCAGACTTTTCCCTTGAACTAGTTAGGACAGCTAAACCCTACAAAGTAGAGCCTCTTTTAAGCATTGTTGTGTTTCTGCAGGGGTGAGTTTGCATAACTTACTTATTTAAAGCAGTTTCCAAACCAGAAGTTTCAGTAAAACTGTTGTTGGGGAGGAATATTATTTTATTTGTAGTCATTGTGAACACCTGACTCTGATTTTGTTTGAAAGGCTGTAGTAGGAGGAATAGTTGATACATATTTTATTGTAAGGGTGATTGGAAGTGATAAGTAATACTGCTTTCATATTTTTGGCAGGTTTAACTGGTTTAGAGAGATATGGGAGTCACTGTCACTACCAGAGGTGGATGCTGCTGTACTGAGGAGTCAGGATGCATGGTTCCCCCTTGTGTCCCTGATTCTGTTTCTTTTGGGGACAGGCATTGCCTACTGGAATGGAGTATTTTTCTCTACATCTCTGAGACTCTTCTCTTCATTATGGTTAACTCTATTTAGGTAAAACAATATTATGCTAAATGATTATGCTTTTTTACATGCCTGTGACCCTGTCATTTTTTTCTGTTTCCTTCAGCGTGAATGCTTGGGAAGATTAAATTCTGCAATATAGTCCATACATAGTTTTAGCCATCTGTGTGTGTTAGTGTTAAGTGCTAATGAAGTCCGAGGAGAATTGCCTCATATTCCTTATACCACATCTCCGAAATGGAACATACAAGGCTTTCTTGTTTCCTTCACCAGCTGTTATGAAGGTTTTCACTTTGTTATTGAGGAAAGCTTCTTGGGGAAAAGAAAGAAACTGTGAACTATTCCTTTTTCAGCAGCTCAAAAAATAAATGTATATATCTAGAAAAGGCACTCTAAGCATTGCAATCCATTCCTCATTCTTCATATTGGACAAACTGCATTAAAGAATGCAAAGAAGTTTGTAAAACAAAAACTCCTTGGGTGTGAATTTCACCCTACATGACTGATTTTATCTATCTAAGGACACTGGAATATTTTTGTTTGTAGAGATGGTATTCAAATATGAAAGAGGGTATGAAAAAAGCAAGGAAGATAAAAAGATTTTAAAAGAGTAAATTAGTAAATTGGATAACATACTTAGCTCTTTTAATGGTTTGACTGTTCTTATACTGATAACAGACCTCAGTTAGATTTGAGGCAACTCTGTCTCCAGAAATTTGGTTGAGGTGCTTTTTACTCGGAAAATATCTGCTAAATTAACTCTCTTTTTTAATCACTAGTTCTTCTAGTCTTATTCTACCAAATAACAGATGTCGTGTCAGCTGTTTCTTCACAGACATCTTATTTATAAATTCCAGTGGATGCTCAGAAACTTCAGTATTAGTTTTATGTGATGAAGCGATAACCTTCTAAGTTTTGAAACTATGCTTACTAAATTTTTAAGAGTTGATTCATACCCATTTCATTAATGCTTTGTATTTCCTGCAAACCCTGAAAATGTATTGGGAAGAGGCAGGAAAATAAGATTTTGTGTGCCTGTCTGTAAGTCCGCAGGTGCATTTTGAAATTCTAGTACCTTACACAGGTTTTGATCTAGTCCCGAATTTCTTGGGGAAAAAAAAACAATGACCACAGTTTCTATAAATCTGTCTAAGATAGATAGTACTGTTGTTCAGTGTTCTTAAATCATCTGATATGGTCAGCAGCAAAGAACTTGTTACTAGCTGTCTGTGGAATTCTTTGTTCTTGTCAACTAGCCTTCTTTTTCAATATTTCTTGCAAAGACTTAAGATTGTATTTTCTAGATAATGCTGACCTGTGAATATTCAAGAAGTACAGACTTTTTCATAGTTCTATTGCACTTCCTCCCCACCCGATTCCCCTTGTTGTCACACCTTCTCGGTTTATCTTTGTCATTTCTGATTCATACTTGTCTCTTAGTTTTATCAGCTAGAATCCAGAAATTTAAAATAAGCTTTTTAGTGTTTCTCAGACTAAGCAAGCAGAAATTCCAGTCTGGGAAGAATGTTTGTCACGGAATTAATCTCTTGGAGACTTATTGTTGTATGCTGCTGTACTATCATTGAAGACTGCAGTGCATTAATGTTTGTAGTAGGAGTCACTTTCATGATGCAGCTGTGCAATAATAATCATAAGGTACTCATTCTCTTGGGCTGAACAGAAGAACTTAATGACTGTTGCAGATCTACAGTTAGCATTCTCTAATGCTTTGTGTTCACCAGTGTATCCTTTATGGTCCCCAGATGAAGTAAAAATAATGTGCTAGTTATAGTTACATCTAGTTACGTTCTGGAAGGTGTAAGATTGTTTTGTTAGCTCATCTGATATGAGAGTTGTTTGCGGGGGTGGTGGTGTTTGTTTTTTTGCAAAGTAGCTTATGTAGCAGTTGTATATATGTTCGAGTTCATCTAACTTAATTTTTCCAGTGTTTAATCAATAATCAGGAGCAATTCTTTTCAGTCATTCACAAAGTAAATTATTCTTTGATCTTTGTAGTTTTGATGTTCTTACAAGAGCATAATAGCATTTTTGTCTTTTTTTAGACCTACTGTACTTCGAAAAGATAACAAGTTGATTACACTCAGGAGATTCTGTATGATGTTATCCCTTGCTTTGGTTAGCTGGACCACTTGTGGTGCATTCGCTGTATTCCTTATTTATCTTCAATACTTGTTTAAGGTACAGAAAGGCTAAACATTATAACTGAATTAAAAATTTTGTATGCCTTGGATTAACCCTGTGTTGAAACCAAAACCACAGGTTACCATTTTTCATACTTAAATGTTATTGTTGACATACTTGAAATCGGTATTTTTTGAACTTTTCAGACTCTCACAGTCTTGTAATCTTAAGAATTATTTTCTTCTTTTGATAATGTTTTTTCCAAATAAAAGTACAGTCCTGTATGCCCACTACAGTAATGTATATAATTGTGATTTTTAACATATGAATAGGTAATGTTATAAAATCAAGGACTGATAGCTCCCTTGAAGAGAAACCTTAGTAGAGGGAGGACTTGGAATGTTTTGTTGAATGCTTCTTATCTTTAAAGACTTTTCACAGATCTTTATGGAGTAAAATTAAGGAGGGTGGATGTATTGTAGAATTAGGGTAGTCTTACTGTGTGTCTAATTTGATCCCTTGGCTAGTGCCACAAAGATCCATATTTAGTCCTTGCCATTCAGTTTCCATGGTCTTCCTTGCATCAGAGTGTCTTAACTAATCTGATTCACCCTGTGGTTATAAAGCTGTGAAATCAGCTACTATACTTAGCTACTGGGGAAGCACTGGAGCATGCATCTGGGAGTTGGGGCACAGAGCAGAGCAGCTTACAGGTGGTCTGAAAGAGGTAGGTGGCAGCTGAAAGCACAGCCTGAGGAACAGGCCTATCTCTAATTGAACTCCCTGTGACACAAGGTTACCCTGTGATGTTCCCATGCTGATATTACTCCCCCTTCTGCAGTAAATCTCCGATGTGAGACTTTTCCTCTGTGGCCTGCTTACAGGTTTCTGGAGAAAGTGAAGTAGAACTGAATCAGCAGCAGGAGGTGAGGAACATGCAGATTTTCCACTGTATTCTCTGTCAAGCACAGTGGAAGGAGAGAAGCACAGAGAGCATAGAGAAAGCAGAGCAGTGGAAGTTTTCTTGCTGTTCTTGGATGCACAGAACAATGTGGATGCTGCTGATAAAAAAGACAGAGGGAGTCCTTGCATTGCAGCTATATTAGGGACCTAGAGTCATCTAGCTATAAAAAGAATCAAAACATAAATAGCCCAATTTTTTTTTCTTGTATACTACAGCTTTTGTGTGAAGAAACATTACTAAAAAAATGCTGAACTGTTTGTCTTACAGGTTATAAAAATACATGTGAATGTAAGAGCAGAAGAAAACATGTTTAATGGGGTAAGTCTTGTTTCCTGCTTCTGTTCAAAACTGTGACCAAAAATTTTTGGGCAAATGTATGCACTATGAATTGTTATTGGTAGCATTAGGCTGTGTTGTGATGACTGAATGGTGGTAGTTTCCTTACTGTGTGCATGATGTGAAAGAGAAGCCAGGACTTCCATCACACATGACTATTGCATTCACTGTTCGAGATCACTGCAGTGTGAGCTTGTCTGAAGTTCATTTAAGAAGAAAAAGTAGTCTCAATACATACAGAACAGTAGTTTTTGTCTACATTTTGGTATTGACTATGCATGTCTTATCTAAAGAAATGAATTTAATTTCTAGATAATAGTCTATACTACAGGTAAATTTTTTTTTTTTTTTCCAGAGAGGTATTTTGTGAAGTTTAGGGGTTTTTGAAGCAGGATTTATAGTACAATTTATTGTACTAATATATATATATAATAATAGATAGTACAAGTACAATTTATTAGATGGATATGGATTGAGACTGCAGTAAATTGGGAGCTGTTTAAAAAGGAGTGAAGAAGCATCGTTGGTTTTCAGGTGTTGCAAATTTGTTTTTTTCAGTTACTCTAAGGTATAGCATCCAAGATGTAAGCACATGTGGATAAGGCATATAATAACTACCTGTTCTTTTTGCCAAACATAGTTAAAGCAGTCTACCAGAAAAAAATATTGACAGTTTTCTTTGGGTTTCAAATGTTTTTTGGTTTAGTTTTAAATCTTCTTCTCTTCTTGCACCTCCATATAATTTTTGAGGGGAGTTTCATTTGTGTTTTTAAAATTTTTTTTCTGTCACTGGCAGTTAGCATCTACCAACTCATAGTTTATCTTTGTTATTTTTTCCTACAGCTTATGTTTTACTCCCAATTGCATTATCTCCTGTATCTTTTACATGAATGGTCATCTGTGATTTTCACCTGCATGCTTTATTACTTGTTTTATTCTGTTCTTCCTCCTTCCAGGAACTCTATTTCTTATCACTGCACTGGTGTCAGGGCATCTCCACTCTCCATTATTTTATTCCAAAGACATATAAACTATCACCAAGATAAATTTCTGGTTAAATCTAGCTTCAAAATTGAACTATTGAACTTTATCTCCTAAAGAGCCATCAAAAGCAAATTGCAAATTTTCTTTTTAAATCAGAGCTGGTATGACACTGTTGTGACAGCTTTTCTCTCCTCCTCCCTCAGCATGGGTTCTTACAAGCCTGTGCATGTTTTTATGACTTTTGCCTTTTATTTCCAGGATTCAGACTGCTCAAAAGAAACTTCACAGAACTCCAGTACATTCACAGTCAAAAACCAGAGTTCGATGGACAGTACCTCAAAAGCAACACAATCTCTTTGCAACAGTACAATTGCTGAAGGCATTAGCAGTCTTAAGATGCATGTTACAATTCTCAATTTATTCACATGGATTGTGCTGCTCAACTTGCCATCTTTAATTTATTGGTTAAAAAATCTCAGGTAATTTCTTAAATTGCCAGTAAGGGGGAAGAAAAGAATATTAAGCTGTTAAGAGAGTAAAAATTGTAAATGTTTGACTCTACATTATCAGCTACATTGTAGAGTCAAAGATGTCTGTTAATTATATCTGGTTTTTGTATGCAATCTGGTTTATGTTATGATATAAGTAGGTGTTAAGTGACTCATATGCTGAAGGAAGTAATGATTCAGAAACAGTTTAAAGTCAGGCTGTGATGCCATATACATTTCATGTATGTTTGTTGTTACCACTACATGCTTGTTCCCAACTTGGAATTTATTTGGTAGCCTAGTTTAGAAATAACATGCTTTTTAAACCATTTTTTGCAGGTACAATGTTAGACTTGATCCTGATCCATGTAGGTCTACTGCTATTATCCTTGTATGCATTTTAGAAATTCTCATGAATTCAAGTACTTCTGAAGTAAAATCAAGGTACTGTAGCCCAATCCCCAGTTTTTGTTTTCCTGTTTCTTTCTTGCTACTTTCATTTGCGTGGTAAAACTTAATTTGTGCTGCACAGACATGCTCAGCCTACATAAAGATTCATAAACTCGTATGGTTAAATCTTAAAGATTGGGTAAAATGCATGCAGATCACCTGTAGTTCAGCAAAGTGGAGAAAATCACTGGTATTTACCACATGGATTTAAATGAAGTAGTTGCTATCTAAATAATCTGTTGCATAAAGACTTCTTTAACAGTTTTCACAATTCAGTGAATCCTTCCAAATGTTACAGAATACTAATACATTTAGCAATTATTGTCAGAAAGTTACAAGGAAAAATGAATTCTAAACGATTATAGTTAAGTTCCTGTAATTCCCCCTTATGGGCACACTTGTGGAAATGTAACATGCTTTCTACTGAATGAAGAAGGTTTGAGCGCTTGGTTTTGCTGACAGAGAGCATTTCTTGTTCAGATATAAAATTAATGCCTCATGAAATATAGTGACTAATAACCAATATAGTTTATCCTGTTGACTGGTACCTGCTAACTCAAGTGATCTAAACCATTAAATCTTTCTTTGTTACAGGGAACTTATTTCTAAATTAATGTAAGCATATTTTTAAATGACACTTTATTTGCCTTTTTCAATAATTGGTCTTTCTTATGCATCAGTTGTTCTTGCCCATTACACCTATTTGTTCTGTTTTAAAAATAAACAAATCCTTGAATCAATTATTTTTCAAAAGAAAGTGAAATATGGTATTTGCATATCTTCTGTGTGTATGGCTACAAAAATGGCATTTTTTCTTTATATTCTTACAGTAAACTCTTGAAGATCGCAGCCAAAGTTCCACTCCCTTTGTCTGTTGCAATGTTGGCCTTTGGACGAATGCATTTATACAAAGTACCGCACTTTGTAACCTTCTCTCTTCTTCTACATGTGCTGTGTTGTATTGTGTAACGTTTGTTATACGTAGGAAGAACAGTGCAGCCTAGAAACTTAACACTGGAGATGGGGAAATCTTCAACAAAGAAATGCCTAGATTTATATAATCAGTAGTTTACGTTATGTGGGAAAGAGGACAGAACTGTGAATACTTTATGAAAAGTTTGTGGTTCTGTTCATGTTGCTTAGAAAGCTTTTCATAGTGTTTTATTTCCTGACTCTGAAAATTGTGTGTAAAATTAACTATGTGTGTGGGTAAGCACATAAATCATATTAGTGTAACATCTCAATGCTCTGTTTGCCTTGTAAACACTTTGATATCTCACTGTACTTCTTTGTTGAAACAGACTTTTTTACTCTCTATGCCATACAGTGCGTATGTTCTCAACTTGCATCTCTTGCAGGTCTAAATTATGCTGGCTAAAACCCAATACATTTCAAGCACACTGTGATGACCACAAAAACTACACAGCCAAGTATATTCTTAATCATTTTATGCTACGTTTAAAAGCTGCCACAGTTGTGTCCTAGACAAACTAGAATGTACTGCTTATATAAAACTGTTATTTCTATCAAATAATTTTTTCAATCAGTGTGAGTTGAACATTTGTGATATTATTGAAAGTCTTACACATTTTACTTTTTGTGAGAGTGAGAGAACAACGATATTCTGTGTAGCTTTCTATTCAGGAAGGATACCAGCAGATTCATAAACAATTTGCTGTAATGTTGTTTTAAAACATTGTCAGTTTTCTCTGGAATTTTGTCAATTCTGAGATTACTCCTTGGACCTTGTCCGTATGTAGAAGCTAGCAAATGTTGAGGTATGGTGTGAGTTTACAGTGCAGTTGCTGTACTGCACTTTTTCCAAGTAGACAAGGCAGGGTTTTTTGCTATTGTAAACGGAGAATCAGCCATCTCATAATAAATATCCATACATGAAATTTAAGTGAACCAGTTATAATGCTAAATTCACATCCTGCCATACAGTGCTAACTTCCTCTCACGTGGACTAACTCTTAGTGATAGTGGGAAATGCTGACCATAATTATTAGCTCTGTATAAAGCATTATCTTAGTGCCTAGATGCTACAGTGACTGCCATTTATAATAAAGCCTAAAATAGCTATGTGTGAGGAATTCTGTCCCCTGGGTATGTGTTTTGCCAACAGAAGAAATCTCAGTAGCCATTAGGTTAAAATGATATATTGATTCTGTGTAGAGATGAGCCTACTACTTGCTTCTGTGTTAGCTGTCTGTGCTCTGTCCAAGATACCTGTTATCTTCTTATGGAAATACTAGACCAGCTCAATCATCCTATACAAATAAGAGGAAACCTGCTACCTACAGTCAATCAAGTATATTTTTGATATAGTAGTACAGGCAGCATGACCCATTAATTTAACTATATCTCATTAATCTTGCCTGAAGTGCCTCAGTTAGTTCTAGTGTGTTGTTAGGGTCAATTCATATGCATGGATTGGAAAATTCACACAGTGACTTTCCAAAATGAAGGACAAATATGAAGTAGGCATCTCTTTTATCCACTTATATACAAGTCGGCAGTTCAAGCTATCAGTCATTAAAATTGCTTTAACAGAGTAAGATTATTGCAGTTAACCAAACCACTGTCACTGTTATTGGTAATATATGTACTGGTATTCTAGTCTTAACCTTTTTTAAAAAAGGTTAGGCTATACATAGTTTTTGTAAATCGGAAAAGTTTTTTAATAGATTATATCTTGATACTTTCTAACCAAATGTATGCTACGGTATATGTATATAAGGTAATTTGTGTGTCTAAATATACTTGTAGCTAAATCCACCAGTTGGTTTAGCAAAAAAATTGCTGTTCAGTCATAGAAGAATAGAGTAGTTTTTCTGCTTTCAAATGGCTGTGAATGAAAGAACTGCACTGGGGCTGGTAATAGGCTGTCTGTGAAATGTGCAGGATCTGATTTCTGTGGAAGATGATTTTCCTTGGCCTTCATGGTCCTTATGGCTTACTGCTGTATTTTCCTTCTGATTTTGTTTTGCCATCTTAATGGGCTCTTTATGCACAAATCAATTTGTTGGAGCTGTTGGTGGAATAAAATAATAATCAGAATAAGGAGAGCAGTCTCTGCATATAGGAGCTTTGATAGCTTCCCAAATCTGCCACAATGTGAAACTTATTAATTACAGTAGCTAACACCATTTTTTTTCTCATTTAATTATATATTTAAAGCTGGGAATTGTGTTGATACTTATCACTCTTCATGAAATGAGTTCCAGAATTTTGCATAGATTCCTACCTGATTTTTAAGTTGGGGGTACAAATAGATACAGTCCTGAGATCTCAGATGACAGAATTTATCGCATCTCCTTCAATACTCCATTTTTTCAGTGATGATTTACTTTCACTGGGGGAAGGAAGGTTGGTCTTACTGCTACTTTGGATTTACATGCATTCTGTGTCATTTGCTAGATGAAAACTGTTCTCGGAGATGTGCATCTGGCTTTTGCAGTGGTTATGGACTGTGTTAATTTCAGCTGTTTGATTAGGTGTCTAATCTCAACTAGATTTTCTGTATAATCAGTGGAGGGGGATACAATTAGAACAATTCATCCCATTTTAAGAGAGGATAAATGATCCTACTTGCCATTCTGAAAAGGACAAGATTTTATAACAGTCTAAAATTGTTTTTCAGGTAAAATACTGTGATTGTTTGTTGTTGTTTTGGAGAAGAGGCTTCTATTATGCTGATTTCTAGTTCTGCCACTGTTCACAAATATAATCTCAGCAGAAGTGTAGGCTAATCCACTATAAAGACTTTTAATTGTGTGTATGAGGAAGTGTAAATATTACTGAAATATCCTTTATTATGAATTAGGCTGCATTTATAAAACAGCTTTTGGTAAATATATTGTAATGTCTCTTAGTATTTTAAATTAAATTAAAATTCCAGATTATTCTTCAAATTTTAGTTTATCTAGACTGTGTGGGAGAAGATCAAGATGCAAATTAACTTGCAATGGATTAAACCTCTGCTCTATAAGGGAGGATTTCTGTTAACATGCAGACCCAAATTCTTTCCTTTTTCAGAAGCTGAAGTATTAATTTTGCAAACCACTGTTCATCATCCATGTGGATGTTCTCCACATTTAGATGGAGATTATGCCACATAAGCATTTAGGTTGAGATTAAGCCACCAGTTTTTTTTGGCTCGTACCTCAGGATACATTCAAAATAAGGACTATTTGTGTGGCTCTTTTCTAGTATTTTTATAAGCTATCAGAAACAGAATTAAAAAACAGGGTAAGAACCTAGAATACCAAATGTCACTAATTTTAGGGACAGCATATATGTACAGCAGAATCTTTCTTTGGCAGAGGGAGGGAGAGCTTTAATGAGAAGCTTTTGTTGACATCTCCATATTCTGAATTGCTCTTTAAGTCTATAATCTTTTCTAGTTGATATGATCAAATATATTCCTCATAGTCTTACCATGCTGCAGTCACAGCAGCTACACCTGTAGCGAACAGTTCATGAAAGGTCTATATTTGTCTGGGAAGGAGAAGCTGTTACCTCTTCACTGGAATTACCAGATGTACCTGGAAACTGAATGAATGAATGAATGTTGTCTGAAGGTGGTGTTTTCAGTTTTGATTTAAGAGTTGGTTACGGTATGTCATGTTTCAGCATCCTGTTAAAAGGGGGATTGGTTTTTTTTTTGGTTTTGGTTGGGGTTGTTTGTTTTGTTCCAAAAAACATTTTAAAGTAACTGGACTTTAATATTACTAATGTTTAGATTTCTGCTCTGATTTTGGTTTGGAGTGAGCTGATACATGTAGCAATTCATTCAAAAATATTTATTTGCCAAGTTTTAAAACTCATAAATGAATAACACAACAAACTCCTAAACAGTGTAATATTAATATATTGTAGAAGACAGAGAGTGGCTGTATGTCTAAGTGAATGTTTCATCTGTAACCTGATTGGGCTACCTTTAAAGTCAGTGTTTAAAAAGATAAAATAAAATGTATTGATACTTAAAAAAACCCCAAAAGCATTGTTGCATATGAAGTCTAGTTTTCTGTGTGTTTGCCAGTAACAAGATTACAAACTTGTTACTTTGTTCCAAAATCTGATACATGTGCTTCTAAGCTTTGACAGGACAGAATAAAGTTGATCACGTGCCTGTGCAAACATTTGAGAAGATTTCATTTGATCAAGTTTATTTCAGTACAGCGATGAGTGTGTTTAGACTTTTGTCTTATTTATACTGAGAAAAAGCCCAGACATTTACAGACCTTCAACACTCTTTGAGTTGCTGAATATGTTTTTGGAAGCAGTTATAGTGTCTGTATAATAATTGTGCTGCTGTTTTAAGTCACTGAAGTACTAGAAAATTGTTAGCTGTAAAACAGACTAAATTATTTATGCTTATATTCCATTTCATGAGGAACGTTAGTCACTTAGCTTACAGCTTTGACTCTTTACATCTCTTTTTTTCTGGGACATAATCAAGCTAGCATTCATAAGCACTTAGCACTGTACTGTAAAAGGTTTAAAAACTTTCAGCATTGTTCCTTTAGAGGAGACGTGCTTTTGTCACCAAAGCTACGTGCCTTGGATGCCTCTGGAAATGTGTGCCAATGAATGACAATTGAAAACAGATTCATTTTTATGTTAAAGTAAAATCATGTTTCTGTCTCTTTTTTTTTTTTGAGCCAGAACCTTAAGCTAGTATTCCTAACAGAATCCTTAAAATCTCTAAAAGTTTATTAGAAAGCCTTTTACAAATATTGTTTTTTTCCGATGAATATTCTTATTTATGGAAGAAGGTATTCAAAGCTTTTTAATCAGCTTATCTTAAAGCTTAAATAAAATCTATAAATTTCATCTTGTTAATAAACATTACTGCTTTTAAAAATAAATTTCAAGCATTCAAGGAGAAAATTCTATAGCTCTTAACCAAACCTGCCCAGCACTTCAATTTTTCAGGTATCTAAGCATGTAACTGCTTCAAATATGTGCTTATTGTCTTGTAGCATGAAAACCTGAGTCAAAGCTGTGATGTTTTGACATTAAATTTGCTTAAGATTTAGGATCTCATTCTGCATTCTTAAATGCAGGTAGATTTTGCTATTCATGCTGTCATAAACAAATCTTGTAAACATGGCCTCTCTACAATTATTGTCATGTTGTGATCTAGATTCTGTAGGAATCTGTGTGATGTCAGAGCTAATTTTGTGTCTATAAAAGTTGGGAATGGAACACACAAACTTGTTATTTTGCAGCACATTGTTCCAGTTCCTCCTTCCATATGCTGTTATTCTTACTTTGCAGTGTCCTTCCACTGTACTACAATATGTAGTGTTCACAGTACTAGTAGGCACTGGGACTGACCTAGTGAAGATACACAGCAGCTGTCCTGTAGACTTGTTCTATGGAAGTTTTGCATAATTGTTGAAATACCAGCAAACACTTTTTTTTTTCCCTCCAACTCAAATAATTTCAGGATATATATATATTAGTATCAAATGTGCAAGTGTGTTCATGTTTATTTTTATAAAAAGCTAAGTGCACTATTTTGGGATCAATTCAGGCTTTAGTATTTTCCACTTGAGTGTGAAAACAGTATTTGAGACTGCAGCACCTGACAACTGAACATTTTACAGAAGTCTGCAAGTAGTAATGTGACACACGTAATTAGAGTGCCAGACCAAAATTCAAATGTGAAATTCCTCACTGTGACTTAAAACTTGTAGCTTTCTAGAGCAAAAAAAGTTACTGTGCCTTAAACCAGTAAATGAATACACTCTAACTGTAGCCTGTGGACTTCTGTAGCCTTATATTTGATTTTTGAAGTTGACCAAAATATTTGTGTGGATCATACTGAAACTTGATTTAGGGAAAATACTTTAAAAAAATTATTTCAACTCCCTTTTACTACACTTACAGAAATGAAGATTTATGACAGTTACAGTGTATTTGTGGTTTGGAATCACACCCAACAAAGTCAGAAAGCTTTAGCTGACTTTAATTTCTCGAGACTTTCTATTGTGACAATAAGCAGAATAAGGAAGAAAAACTAGTCTCAGATCTGTGTCTCAACTTTGAAGTTCTATGTGTCAAATTATTTTAAAAAATTTTGTTCTTTAGTTTCTCCAAAATAAAGAAATCCTCTAGTTTAAACAAAATATTGAATTTATGCCATTGAGTATCAATATCTATGCCAGTGTGAGAATAAAACTAGATGGTGGGGTTGGTTGGTTGTGTTAAAGCTTTGAATAAAGTTTTGAATAATGAATTTCACTTTTTAGGAAAAATCTTCATATGTAAAACCCTGAAAGGTCTTTTGGGAAAAGAGAGGGGAAAAAAAAAAAAAAAAAAAAAAGGCTTATGTATTCTGTTCTTCTCCATTAAAGAAAACCAGAAATAGTCAAGAACTTAGTCTGGTTTTGATACAGTAGAAGGATTTCTTATGTATATTTTTAAATATAAAATGATCACAAAAAGCTACCACTGGCTTTCCTTATGTGTCTCTACAGGATTCTTTGTATATTTTGAACAAACGCCACAAATTCTGACACACCCCCCACGTCCCCCCCAGTATTATACTGTGTAACACTGAACCTTGAATAAAGATGCCATCTCAAAGCTTATCGTTGGACTGTGGATATTTAGATATGCACACAAAATGACTGCATGTCAGCTGATCACAGTAATTGTTTGAAGCAATACAAATCAAAGTTATTAACTTTGTTTTCTTGAGAGCTAGCTTGAACCTGGCTGCCACAATGCTGCTGATGCTGTGGTACAAAGGAACCATGCAACTTTTCTGTCTTCCCTGCTACTTCCTTCTGTATGTTAGTTTCTACTTTTAAAGCTCTTGTTCCAGTCACCTAACTTTCTCTTCTTTCCTTTGCTATGATCCTATGATTTCAGTAATCCTAGCCACTGTTGATTTCCTAACTACAGGAGTATTCTGGTATTAAAATCATTGGGAGGGCAGAACTACTTTTAAGGACTTTATATATGATGATTAGTCTAGAGAAGTTGTGTAACCTAGGCCTGGTAACTTGATTCCCTATTTACCTTTTAATAGTTTTTCCAAACATGAAGACAGAATAATGTTGGCCAAAGTATCTGTTTTGGGTAACGGAGGGAGGGAAGGGGCTGTTGGTTGGTTTTAAGAGGACTTAAAACTTTGAAGAACATATATGTAATGTTTGGAAAAAGCTATTGCTTCACAAACAACCTGCCTTACATGTCTTTAACCCTTCACTGCTTTCAGTTCTTATACACCTAGTATAAATCTGGTGTAGTAGGTGAAGCTAACTCTTAATAGTTACAGGTTTCTAGAGATGTTGACAGGGTCTTATCTATAAATGTTTGGATAATGTTATAATAATTTATTGTGCTTATTAAAATTTTTATAACTGAATTCTCAAATATAGCTCATGCAAGGTGTGATAAGCTTTGGCAAAGTCCTTGTCTTGTGAGATGCTGAGAAGACCTTGGAGACAAGGTATCTTCAACTAGTGATGAAATTGCCGAAATCTCAAAATCTTTCAAAACTATGCTTTTAGATACTGGTACTTTTTTGTTGAGGGCACCTTGAGTGGGAGCTACTCCGGGATGTTTGTATTTTGTTTGATGGTTTCCCTGTCTGCAGTGTATACTTCACATTTTTTTGTCTTTTTTTTTTACCTACGTGCGCATGACTTAGAGTACACTGTATAGCATATGCTCTGGCTGAATAAACACTTCTGTATATTTTTGTATGGTGTTCTAACATGGCTGCATTAGTACAAATGGTTGTAATTCACAAAAAGTGCCACTTACCAGTCATACTCTGTAGAGTGTTGTGAATGTTACCTCTACTTCTGTTGTACAAACACGTTAATGAGTGGTGTGATGAATGTTTGCCTTTAGTCTTTGCTCAGGTACTCATGTGGAGCAGTTTGGTGCTTTTCCTTCTAACTTGTAATACTTGGGATTCTAAGCAGAAAATAAAAACAGTGAACAAAAGCATTGTGGTTAGAGCAGTATTTTAAGTAACAGACACTTTTTGCATATCTCACGTAGAATACAATAAAGATCATACCTGATGGAGCTTGGTTTAGTATCTTAACTCATGCACCTTAGGCTGTTTATACTTGCCTTGCTATCATGAATTAGAAATGCAATAAAATGGAAGATATTTGGCAAATAATATAGTTTATGTAGAGCATCATATGTATAAAACTCGTTCTCAGGTAAACTAATTGATTTTAAATTTGCCTTTTGTCCTAGAACAATATTTTTATTTTTTTGAAGTAACTTGTGAGAAACAGAACGAGCAATGTGATGAGCATTTTCCACTTCAGTGCAAATTAATTCAAACATACGTGACTGTTACTGTGCCCCAAGGGCTACATAATTAGTATAACCACTTTCAAAAGGTTCGATTAGCTGAAGATGTGTGTCTATATACGTAATGTGTCAAGAAAACCTAGTGCTTAAATTTAGCTGCATTAAAAAGGCAGCACACTGACATCTAGCTTGGAAAGCGTTTAAGCTAGCTACTGTTCTCAAAAGGAGGATGCAATTTTGTCCAATCAGTGTAACTGTGCTAACACTATTATAATATGAATGTGTTCTGCTTATATTTGACTTTCACTGAAGGAAAGGGCTATAATGAAATTAACTTTAAAAAAAACCAAACACATCAAAAAAACCCACAATAAATTGGGCCCTAAGTTTAAATAGACTTTTAACTCAGGAAGCAACAGGTTTGTAGGAATTTTTTTTTTTAAGACAGCTCACAGAAAATATATGCTAATTAAATCTCTTGCATATCTGCATACTTCCTACTAAATTCCTACAGTAATAAAAGTTATTTCAAATTTATAGATTACTTCAGTATATTTTACTAGTTGAATGTACTGTGTATCCCCCAGCTTCTTTCTAAACAAATCAAATTAATTAAAATGGGGGGGGGAGGATGGAAGAAAACTGCCACTGTTCTGTTGGGGTTTATTTAAAAACCTAAATAAGGAGCTAAAATCTAATCCCAAACTGTAAATCAAGCCTTTTTCCCTTCCTTCCTTTTCTCTAGAGAAACATATTTCTATTTCTGGTTGATTTAGAAGGGAAATTATGCGCAAAATTAAGCTAAAAGTATCTACCTACAAAATCAACAAAGCAAGTTCTCTTACATTGGGACCTGCCTTTTTACAAGCTCTTCTGTTGCTACTGCTGTTCTGGTTCTTGATGAGTCTTCTGTCTGGAAGTTGTCTATTAAGAAAAGTAATTGAAGGGTTTGGACGGATTTTTTTTTTTTATACGTGTGTGAAATTTTTTTATTGCAAGTCTGTAGGATAATATACAAGCTGGATAAGGTGACTTGTATTTTCATATGTTACTGCAGTTATAAAGATAACACTGCTAGGATTTTGTTACCTGTGTTGCTAATGATGTTTGGATGTTCACAACTTTGCCTGCCTGGAAGGGTAGAGTTAGGTTTTTGTTTTTCTTTCAAAATTTAAACCAAAGAAAGATGTAAAGCTTCCAGTCAGAAATAAAGATCTATAATCCTGACTAAGATAATGGTCAAAAAATTTAGTTTTAACATGTCTATTTAGAGATATATTTTATGTGCTACTAACTAAAGTATCACCTAAATAGTGGAGAGAAGAGTATAATGCAATTATAAGCAAAAAATTTGAGCAGCTTTGAGATGAAGAATGCTATGAAATAAGGCCGAGGTAAATTAGCATAGACCTTCTTGCAGTCTTTGTCGTAGTTCTAGTCTAACAGGAGGATATTGACTGCCAATAAAATCGGGGTTGGAAAACAACACTTCCATTAAAACGTTATGATTTTGAATCGTGAAACAGACCTTACTTTTCACTCTCTCTGTCTCCAGTATCAAGAAAATGATCCATATCTCATCTTGCCTGAAAACCATTTAACCAGCTGTAATTATCTGTTAGGGACCATTCTGGAGATATAGTTAATTACTTTTAATTAAAAGTAATATTTTGATATAGCTCTGCTATCTCTGGTGGGAGTTGTTTTAAACTTACTATATGCTTACCACCAATTTTCTGCAATATGGCTTAGGAAGGAGGAATTTGCACTGCACTGTTCAATCGCAACAGGTCTTAAGAGTATTAAGGATGAAATTCTCAAGAGTCTTTATGTCATGGCTGGAAGTGGAATCATTACTGTATTTTTGAACTCCTGCTAACGTCATTGACACCCACCTACAGTCCACTAGAAATATAAGTGCAGAGATCAGTTTGTTCACAGATTACAAGGAGACTAACCAAGAAGGGGCAAGCCAGAACCAAATTCACTGGTAAGCTTTATCTTAAAGAACATGAAAGGGAGAATTATTTCTTCCTTTTTTTTTTTTTTTCTTGAATGAAGTTGTGAAATGGGTCTCTAGTATCTTATACCAGGCTGTATTATTATTGCACTTACTAATATATGTAGTACACTTCCATGCGATTAAAAAAATTGAGCTATCTGGATCTCAAGCCGTATTTTTACATTCTTCTTGGAGCACATAAAGATCTAATGCTGTAACTAATAGGCCAGTGAAAATGGCTGTATGTAATAACAAATGTAGATTTACAAATGTTTAAGTATTTTGTGTTAAATGTCACCCTAGTTCCTCTCAAAAAGAGAATCCAGTGGCTAGAAATATCTTTGGTATGGGAAACGTTTCTTCACAATAATTTGTGCTTCAAAAAACAAAAAAAAAGTTGCTAGCACACAGATGTAATCTGCAGTAGGCAGATTCTCCTTACCATGATAAATTATTTTCAGCACTCCACTAGATTGTCATCCTTGCTCTGTGCTACCAGTGACAGCTCTGTAGGACTCAAGGAGTCTGGTTCGTTGTCCTTTTACAGGTAGTCTGTTCATCTCTTCAACATGTGGAAAGTGGTGCTCCTGGGTCTATATACAGTACTGGCTGTGAGAGGATTCGCAAAGGGTGCTCCTTTCCAACCAGAAGAAAAATGGAAACCTCTAGATAACCCTAGAAACAGAGACCTGGTAAGGAAAATGCTGCAAGAAAGGTAGCCTGAGTTTTGTGTGGGTTTTGTTTTCCATTGTGAGTATTTTTATCTTCTAAATTTAAAGGTAAGAGGGGCCCATTAAATGTAGTGTTAGTAAGTGCACTCTTTGTATAGTCAATAACCACAACTGGATGAGCATGCTTCAGTCAAGATGCACCCCTTCACTGAAGAGACATTCTCCATGTGCAGTAGTGCATAAAACTTCCTTCTATCTCCATCCAGCAGGTTTAGTTTTTAAAAATGTATTTTGATTATGCAACCACTTGTTTTATGAAACAGAAAAGGAATTATTATTATGTTTCTTTCAAATGTGTACTGTTGATTGCATGCTGTTTCATCTTCTGGAAGTACAAATAAGTTTTCATCTGACACATCATGAATAGAGGCTAAAGGTATGAAAGTTAATTACAGCTAAGAAAATATTAAGAGAACATGCAAGATCTTATAAGGAATTTGTGAAGGAAAAAAAAATATTTTCCCTAACTGTTTTAAGAAGCATTAAATCTACTTTTAAGGAATCTAAGGGGCCAGTTCAAATCACTTGCGCACTGTTGCTAACTCTTAGAGAACATTTCTCCTTCTCTTAGAGAAATGTGCAACACAGCTGTAGTGTTTGCTCTCAGGAAGGGTTTTGCTGTGCCTGTTGTATAAGGGATACAGTTGGTGGTGTGTATACTCCACGTAAGATGTACAAGCCATGGACAGAGTGGACATGTCTGAATTATACTACCTGTATTGTACTGGTTTATGATCAAAATAGAGGATTTAATCCCACATAGAAACAAATATTGCCTCTACTTTGTGTCAGTAGAAATAATAAAACTCCATTGGGCATGCTCTATTTTCACATACGCAATACGTTCAGTTTTTCAGAACGCTCCAGGCTTATTTTTCGGGCAGGGGTCTTGATCTCAGAAAGTTCCCAGCTACTTTCACTGTGAACAATGAAGGGCCAAGAAGACCTGTCATCTTCTACTCAGATCCAATTGCTTCTGCATTTGCAGATTATGAAGAAAGGAAAAATTCTTTTCCAAATTATTTCAAAGGCTGAAGTGTGCTTCTGACTAAGGTAAAAGAGAATGCCTTCTCCTTTAACATTACATGTAACCAAGTGAAAGATCTGGATTCAAGTGATTCTCTTTTCTGTTTGAAGTATAAAACCAACTTCTTTTTTTTTTTTTTTCTGAATAAATTAGAACTAGAACCTTAACTCTTGCCTGAAGTTGGTTTAAAATTATTGAGGTAGAGATTTATTAGGTATTTATTACTTCAGTAAAATAACACACGATGCTTGTGCAGATCAATATAGACTGTACTTCTTTTTTTTTTCTTCTTTTTCTCCCCTTTTTCATGCAGAAGAGAATTCTGAAAATGTACAGATAATAGAGAATGCAGATTTTATTTAAATAATTGATATCAGTGAAATGATAAATTGAGACTAATGGTTTTCTGTGGTGTGTATATATTAAGAAATTTAGACATAAGTTATTGCACTAACCAAGCATACATTATCTTTTACATCTTTGTCTATTCATGCTCTTATCCTTATTCCTACTGCTAAAATTGAAGGTTGATAAAAGGATTGCAAATTTATTCATATCTCTCTGTAAATATGGAATAAAATTTAAGTGGGTCAAACTTGCATTATTAATAAATCCAGCCTCAATTTAGCCCAGGTACTTCTCAGCTCTTTTACCTATGGGTAACCATACTCCGTAAAAAATAATATATCTCATTTTGAGAGTCAGTGAATATTGGCAATTCTGAGAAAAGGTAAATAATTGTTTTCTCCCATTTTACAAAGAGTTGAAGATTTCAGTAAGATTTTTAAGATTCAGTAAGTACTTTGGTGATTTACTCCATATCTTTGTCATCAGTATTCATGTTAGGATTTCTAGCTCTGTCCTACTCTCTGCCTGCTTAACCACGTATTTCTGTAATCAAAAGCACAGCTCCACTCTTCTTATTATCATGAATCATAATGAAGACTGCACCCAAAGTTTAATGCTAAATTCTCTTTTTACCAAACTTTTGTGTCAGGATAAAAAAAAAAGCAAGCATCACAGAACAGCTGTTGGGCCTGACAAAAAGCTGCTTCAGAAGGGATGCTGTAGCTCTGCTGTAAGTTACCGCAGCAGTGAGGAAATGACTGGTGGAAGTAATTTGCCCTGCATAATTCAGGATGATCACGGTAGTTCTTTTCAGTGTCCAGAACTGGTTTTGGGAAGTAGAGGTCTGCTGAGCTCATTTGGGGTATTTCATCTAGTGTTACCACATCTTGGCTTAGATCATACCCTGGTTGCATATACATATTTGTCTCATCTTTTTTTTTTTTCTTTCTCTTTTTCAGGTATTAACTTTTCAACTTCATGTGAAGCGGTAATCTTTACAGCAAAATATTACGGCTTTGACCTTTTTAACTGTTACCTGATAATTTAAAATTTTCCTCAAAGTTTTCGCCTATGGCATCTGCTGTCATGCTGTAATTAGCACATTTGCTATTGACAGATGTTTGATATTTGGTTACTACAATTTGCCTAGCCGAATTGTGTTTGTTTAAACATGAATAAATGTGGAGTGCAACAGTGCTTTTAACTACCCCAAGCGTCTTTTGTTCGAAATCGGTAAATAAAAGTTACCTTTCAATTTATTAAAACCAGTTATCACAAGGTATTTTGCAACAATTTTTCAGATACTCTTACCAGAAGCCTTCTAGCTTCTCGGGAGAGTGAAGCTCATGGGGCAGGGCCTGCTGCCTGCTTGTAAACCCCCCCCCCCCCCGCCCCATTTCTGACCGTGCTCTAGTCGGTGAGGCATCTGCACGATGGCTCTATACGTATATGAAGTTACGAAACCCTTCCCCTGGAAAAATCACACCCATTCCTGGGGAAATAAGAGAATCTAACACCTGCAGTGAGGCCGGGAACAGAGGCGCTTTCCTCACGCCTCCTGCTTCTCCGCGGCTGGCTCCCGCGAGGCAGCCAGCAGCGCCCACGGCCGCGGCTCCCCGCAGCCCCCCGGGCCCGGGAGCCCCTGCGGCCCGCAG